TATATAAAATTATATCTCTTAAATTAATCTACAAAAATAATAAAAATTAAATATAAATGTAACATACCAGTAGCATTGGATTCTTTTAAATCACCTTTAACCTGAATAGCGCTTATTCTTGGATCACCACAACTAAAAAGCTTCGTTAAAGCAACAGAGCTATCCAAGAAAAAAGCCCGTAAATATTTTAAATACATTTATAAAATTATATGCATATTTATACATAATTCATATACATACCTAACTTTACAATTGTAATAACCAGTAAAACTATCATGGTGTTCAAGCCATTTGTGAAGTAATACCTCAAGTCCACTACGTCCATTTATATCTAATGTTGATAAAAATTCAACTACATTTTGCATTTGTGTAAGGATTAAATGTGCAAATATCATCACAAATGACTATTATTATTAAGAAAAAAAAATTTACTATTATTATGACATTATTATTATTATTATATTATATAAAAAATATGGATGAGATACTTGTATGGATGTTGTTGTTTTGGCGCTATCTAGTTTTAAAGCAACTGCTTTCAACAAATCAGGAAGTACGGGGTTAAGTTTATCGCCAGCCTAATTATTAATATTGATAACAATAAAATCGTGAAGCATTATTTGATTCTTTTGGATAGAAAAATAAAAATAAAAATATTTACTTTTTTAATTAAAATTACAACTAAATCTCCAAGAAAAGCAGCTGATTCCCCTTCAATTGGTTGAAGTGATTTAGCAATATAATCTATCAAATAACTTAGTCCAGATTTACCAATATTATCAGTCCTAAAAAATACATAACAATATAATAATATAATAATTAATCGATATTATTATTTTTGATTTATTTTTTAAATATAAAGTTATTTACCATTCAGAAATTTGCGAACAACCCTTTTGTACAAGATATCTTAAACAAATTTCTCCACTCTAAATAAATAAAAATACATACATATTAATATTAATAATTAATATTCTATAATATTATTCTCTGAAATAATTCAAAAAAAAAAATAAAACCAATAATCAATTAACCAATCAAAAAAATACCTGCAATATACTACGTTCTTCTGTTGTTAACATTAAATGAATTAAGGGCGGAAATATATGTTGTATATATACGAACGGCAAAGGTGATATTGTTGTTCCTCTGATAAGACTTGTTATTAAATCTATAGCAGACTTTATGAAAAAATTTTATTATTGTTTGTAAAAGTTTTTTTTAAATTTGTACAAATTTATTTTTAAAAATATTTTTTTTACTTCAGTATGTGATGAATCAATTGTAGGATTCATTATTATATTGGCCAAGGCAGGTAAAGCTCTTTCTATAAATGTTGAATTAATTGATAAAGTTTCAGAAATCGAATTTACCGCCGACATAACAAGATGTTCTATTATCATAAATAGTTAAATTAGTTAAAATAAAGAATTTAGCTTTTAAAAAAATAAAAAATAAAATTTATACCTGAAGGAAATTTTTGCCAAACGTCAACCACCATTGGTCCTATCAAACCCTCATATTGAAATATTACATCCCTATTTATCTAATAAAAAATGAAGACATTAATTTTAAACTAAAACGTGTGAGTTTTCAGACCTCCAGCCATCAAACTTTATAAAAATATATAGAATACATATATACGAGATGTGTATATATATATATATATATATATTACTTTAATAGCTCTTTCAAGTGTTTCCAATACTAATAATAGGAAATCTTCTGTTGTCACATTAATAAGATTTGCTACACATTCAATAATGGTTCCTTGAAATGGTAGAACATATTGTTCATTTAAATTTCGACAAAAACTATTTTATTTATTTTCAGAATAAAATACTTTTTGTTAAATATTTGTTTATATAATATTTATGTAAATATAATTATTACCTTTTTAATGCACGTAAAGCGGATACTTTTACAGGAATAGTACCGTCAGGATCTTTAATCGCTTCAATAGCAGCTTTAATAAAACCTGATGTTAACTCTCCAGGTAAAACTGATGCAAATTGGCTTGCGAAAACAAATGCACGTCCTCTAAGAAATGGAAATCCTTCTATATATATATATATATATATATATTATAAATGTTTTTTAAAAAGATTATATTTATATAAAAATAATAATCTCAAGAAAAAAAAGAAACACACCTGGCTCATTTAAAATTTGATGTATTATTTGTTCAAATAATATGCCAAGATTTATTCCAATATTTAAATTTTTATCATTTAATGCGGATATTAGTTCATTAGAAACAAACCCGATTGCTTTTAAACATGCTTCATGAATTTGCCACCTAGGAAAAATAAAGTTTTATTTATTTATAAATTAAAAGAAATCTTTATTAAAAATAGTTATTAATTATAAACTTTACCAATTAGGATCACCGTCAGCACGGGCTTTATTAGATTCAGCCATGTTATGTTGTGAAATTGCTGTTAGACTTTTTAATGTGCGTTCCGGAAATTTGTCCATTAATATCTTTATATAATAAATATAGATAGATAGATAAATAAATAAATAAATAAATATTAATTGTTTTTATCTTTTAAAATTGATAAGCTACCGTTAGTAAATCTTCTGCTGCAACTCTAACACTAAAGTTGAAGGTATCATCATCATCGTCAGCTACAAATTGATTAGCATCTGAAATCCAAGTTTCTGCCTAAATATAGCAATATCAAATAACAATATATATATTAACATCATTAAATAATTAATCTATTCTCTAAAAAAATAATAGTAATAACTTACTTGTTCAACAGTCATTTGCATGTATTGTATAATAATCCAAACAAGCTGAGACACAAAATCAGTATTATTATTTTGTTCGTTAATATTATTATCATTTTTATTTTTATTTTTATTTTCTTCAAAAAGTGATTTAACAGATTTCTTTCTAATTGTCAATCCAATAAATTCAAATTGAACAAATAATAAATGTTCAAATCCAATAACTTCTCCATCAGAATCTTG